TTTCCAACAATTGCTTAATTTTCATGAGAAGGGCAAATACTTCCGCCTTTTTGACACGGATCTTTTCCAGCACTGCGATAAGTTGAACACGTCTAACTTGCATTATACCAATCGACGTATTTCCTTCAAGACGTGTTTGCTCTATCAATGCCGTACCCTCGTCGCTAATGCGTTGCAGCTCAATGTCGTGTTTCTCGAGCTCTTCCATTAATGGTTGAATCGCTTCCTAAAATGAATAATACAATAGTTACTCTTCCGAGTAACTCTTTACAACACAGAAAATGTTAGTGCAAAAACGGTACTGAAACTAATTAAATCGAAATACAAAGAAAGAGTTGACCGAATATTCCTCAAATTATCAATTATGCTTTTGGTCGATCGAACGATCTGACATTTTTTGAATTGGACAAAGAAACCTTTAAAATTTTAAGTACATGCTTGGACATGAATTTGAAAGACCTAAGCCTAAGCCTAAGCACCAAAGCATAAGCCTAAGCCTAAGCCACAACATCACTCGAACGGTAAGGAAGTTAACGGCGTTCCTCTTGTACAAACCTCTCCAAATAAATGGACCACGAATAACGAAATGCAATACTCCTAGGTTGGCTAGGAGTTAAATGTCAATCGAGACCGAATCTCATATTGATGAAGGGTGAACTACTAGCCTAATCCTGAACACGAGATGATTGTCAAGCTTATTCTGTCGACAAGGCTAACACAGACAAATAGTTTGGATAGTGACTTGTTCTGAGGATGGGGTCGATAGTGTGATTGTGACGTGAGTGATGAGTGGAAGTGTGTAGGCTGATAAGTGGTAATAATTGAATAAGTGACCTTTTCCCTATTCTGGAAAGGCTTATATGCGGATTCCTTTGGGCGGTTCCTTATAGATCAAGGATTGAATGTGTATAAATTGGAAATATTCGGAATTTTGGTTTCCGATAACCTAAGCCTAAGCACCAAAGCCTAAGCCTAAACCTAAGTCTAAGCCCGGTTTGACCGGAATGATTCTCTCTCCTACGAAAATGTTCTCCTTCACCACTTATTGCGATTGTACTAGTCACTATACGTTCCCCAAAGACGACCACTTTACACTTTTAACTTAAATTGAAAGTGAATGAAAGAGTTATTTTCGCTGTAATCGCAGTTATGGTCGAGAAAAGTTTGTTGGAGGAAAGCCAAGATAATGAAGTGAAAGGCCGTTATACAGAAGACATATATATGTGTATTTCATACAGTCTCTTAAGCATTTTAATGAATAGCCGAAAAGTGAGCTTTCATCTTTCCAAGCGGTTGCAGCGGTTGATAGCTTCTGTGCTTTCTGTAGTCCTCGTCGACGACGAGCGAACTTCATTCTATCCTCTGTTTCTAAATACGTTTCTTCAGTATGCAAGTCCACACGCACAAATAATTTCAGCCTGAGTCTTCTTTTTTTGATTTGTTAGCAATTCAATTAGTGCTCAAAATTATAAATTTAGCACACTTGTAGCCAGACTTTATTTTATTTAATTGAATTTATTTTGCAGCACTAGCTATTATACTTCTTCAGGCCCCATTTTTTACTGTACTTTTTCTTAATTTTTATAACACTTTGAATTCAGGTATTGCAGTTCTGGTCTTATATTAAGCTATAACCTTTTTGATGAGTTCAATATTTTTATTGACTTTGATATAATTCATAAGTAAATGTTGTCCTTATCATTCATTTCATCAGAACATTTCACCACGGTCATGAGTTCCTTTCGCTGTGATTGTGTAATTCTATGTGTCATCGTCAATGCCCTGGAACCAATGGTCCTGATATTTTCGGTGAGTTTTGGACAGCAGGTACCAAAGGTGAGCAAAAATTCTCGCCTGCAAATTAGTCAGTTAATTTTAACAAGCAAGTTCAATTTCAATCTTGAAAAAATATTGAAAACAGAGTACTTTGAACTTGCCTAAACACATCGCTCATTAAGGCACATAATATAAAATTAAAGCTGCTATTTATCAATGATAGTACATCAATAAAATCACCGAGATATTGCATCGCATATCGAATACCTGGTTTTAAACCTGAAATTAGATGGGTAATAAGAGAGAAAAAACTGTTAGAAATAAAAAATAACCGTTTAAATTAAATGTTGGTTGGGTGTTTCGAAATATTTCAGTCCATTACCTGTCACAATTAGTAACAGTCCAGGTGACATGAGTAATTTACCTATAGCGAAAACAAGAATTCCTTGTGGTAACTCCGTGACCAAGAAGACGGCGACAATAGCGGTTAACATGGTAGTGGTACGTTCTGCTTGAGATTTGCCACTTGTCTGACCTCGATATAAGCGAATACGTCGTTTACGGGCTTCAATTAGCATACGTACCAATAATGTCATAAATATTGTCAACATCAAGCACGGTATCAATTTTAGCACCAAACCTAAAACATATTTTTATTCTCTCAACACAGAGCAATCTGATTCAATAAAATCGGGAATGATGGAATACGAGAATGATTGTCGATTCTCGATTGTTTCAATGATCTTTCAAGGAGTTCGCATCAAATGTCTATTTTGCTTTTACTGTCAGTCACTTTGCTTTTCACAAATTCCAGTGAGTGAACCAGGCTTCCAGCCAAACTAATCAATTCCAAGGAGAGATAGATTTAAGTAGATGGAAAAAGTATGTCTTGTTTTTTCGTTCATTAGAAGAAGAGCTTTTAACACGTAATATTTAGAAAGCTTGAAGCTTTTTTTTCTGATTTGTTTACAAGCAAAGCAGTTTAATCTCTGTTCGAGATTACAGACCTCCGCAAAGCTTTTAGTAGTCTCTCTTTCATGCTGTTGAATTTATTTCCGCAAGACACAATTTACAATTGACAATCTTAGCATTTGCAAATAAGCTAATTAAAATTGCAAGCATCAATAGTAGAGTATGTAGGCATTTCATAAAAATATGATTCAATGTACCACATGGTGAAGTGAAAATCGATGGGTTGCTGCTCTTTCCGGACTTTACCTTTCTGACCATCCTGACAAATGAATCGAAGTAATAGAAAGATGAATAAAAACCAACCAGCGGCCCAGAAATTAAACCTTTCCCAGCGACAGGTCCACCATGAAGGCTGAGCAATGTTGTAGGCATGAACTTTCGGGTTATCCACGTAATAGTGCGCATATGCGGACTGATTTGATGTACAGTAAGCCGGTACATTCAGATAACCGTTATCACGGATCTGAAATCAACATTGGACATGGATAGCTGAAGAGTTGATGAGTGGACGGAAGGGTTGGACGTGGGTGGCGTGATTCTCGCTCTGCATTATTATCAGTGATGGCTGTCCATTTCGTGTTAGCTAAGAGGAAGAGCACGTTGTTGCATTATCATATCGTGAATGATCAAATGTTTCACCTGATATCTTAACATGTTTGGCAGAGAACCAAGAAGTGAGATCATGATAGCAGCAATGATTGCGATAAATGCCGCTTTGAAAGTGTTAACAATCGGAATTTTCGATGTCGACGTCGCACTTCGTTTCAGCACCAAATATCGCAGAACGGCCATGTTCACGGTGAGCCAGAGGGATGATGAATGAACAAAAACGGATAAAATGGCATAAAAGTAAGTAAATACTATCCAGAAATAGGTAAAGTACCACGGATGACATATCTCAACCTGAAATGAACTTCCTACAATTCTATTCTTTAATTTTCATTCGGGTGATTCATTGTATTCAATAACTATAATTGCACTTTTCAGAAGAAGCCTAAAAATTTAAGAGAGATGTTCTCGAGATTTTTTGCCCTGCAATAGCAGTATTGTCTGAATTTGAAGTTTGAAGTGGATCAAAAAGCAGAATGGAATTGTTTAAAACCGAATTTCCCCTCGGATCAACACATGTCACCAAGCATAATGTGAGGTGTGAAATTGTCAGAAATTCTCGTACATATTTTGTGGAATTTTCTGCTGCTCAAATCTGTCACAATAACATGAATATTGTTGTGAAATCTCCAGAATTTCAGAATTTTTATATTTGTATTGGAGATTTTCAGAAACTCTCATTGCGAAATATTTTGCTTTTCGTTCTTTCAAAGATACTGAATGGAATGAAGAAATGTTGTTGTTTACTGGGAAATGAACAAAAAAGCACAAAAGGATTAATTAAAATTTTTAGAATTTATTTCAAATAAAACTGGAATGATAATTTGCAGAGAGAAGTTTGTCATTATTTGCAGTGCGCACTTTTTTCCCTTCTTACGATATTCTCAAATTAGTAAAATTAATGAGTTTTCTTTTTCTATCCCCAGACTCATTTTGCCCTTAATTCCATAAAAGTTCCGAGAAAGAAGAAAATGTATAACTTGGCACCAATCAAGGGGATTACAAACCTTCTTTCCAATACTTTCTTTGTTGCTACGGCAAGTGCAAAGTATCGGCTTCTTTTAAAGTTGTTTAAAAAGAATCAAGTGATTATCTTGAGCATGTTAATCGGATTAATTAATTAGTTGAGCATTGATTTTTTGGGAAAGGAGACGAGGCAGGATGCATTCTCTTATTTTTATTTACTGAAATGAGCAAAAGATGAGTTCGTTGCGGAAATGTACAAAGATTTCGAAAAAGCTCATACAGTACTGATCAACGGACAATCAGTTTGTACTTGCTACTGTGTAGAGTTAAATTTCTTTACCATATTATCATCTTTTTTGAAAATTTGTTTGATTCGAGGTTTAATGACGATGTGTGTAAGAAGTTGTAATCAAAATGAATTTACCTGTTTGAAAATGAAATAGAAAGCCATTAGCGTCATATCGCATAATGCAATTACAATCAAGAAGGCATTGAAATGGTTCCTGCGCATCGCGGGCCTCAATAAAACAACGACAATTGCAAGGTTGGCGAATACGCCGGTGATGCAAAGGAAGTGATAAAGGACGATGTGGATCGGGAAATAAGCACTCGCGAGTGGCACAAGGAACTGAAGATGTTTCTGTTAAGTTCAAACATTTGTTGGAAGATCAGTTCACCTTACAGTTCGCCGTTTCAATAATTTAAGCAAATGAATTGTAGTTTTTTCTTGAAATGCATCGCACAGATCTTATTTACAAGTCTTGAAGACCAGAAAACAATTCCGAAATAATGAAGAAATAATTTGTAATGGTAAGGATTCAGTCTTGTATTGCATTTTATTCAGGGTAAAATTTTTTTTTGATATGTCGCTGGTAGGTTTTTCAAAGTCTTTCTCTTTCATATTATCAAAAATTAGAGTTCTAAGTCAAATTTTACAAAAAAAATTAAATTCGCAATGGTGCGGAATTATCGCCAGCCTATGTTTTGCATTGAGTAGAGCTGGGGTAATTAAAGTTAGCCTACTAAATGCTTGTAACTTGAGAAAAAGTTACATTTTTCCTTTAAGAATGCAATAATAGAAATAAATCGAAAAATCCGCCTTCTCTCCTTCCTTCTCGCTGAGGCTCTTTTTCCCATTTCTAGTCCAGACTTACTTGGCTTCTTCCATTCTTACCTTTTTCATTCCAATCTATGAAATATGTCGGACTCCAGCTGTTGACTCAAAATGCACATGCGTGCAAGATATCCTTCCAAAGACAAGTTAAAGTAAAGCAGGGCGATGAAATTTATTTTCTGATCATAGCGAATTGGAAAGTGCAAAAGTTGATATGGCCACGTTTTTGATGTCACCTTAACTGAGGGACAAATTTTGCCAAGGAATCTAAGAAATAAATAACGAAGCAAATCTTTTCCAATAAATATGAGCTGGAAGTTTGCAATGTTCACAACTGATCTTACGGAACTGTTTTAGATTCTTTGATTAGTCAATATCCATTCTCTGATCTTTAGAAATTTCCAAAAATTCAAAATAGAATGCAATAAACCTCCAAAATTGTTAATGGCTTTATAAAATTTACTAAATTTCTCATCTTTCAATCTTCCATGCTTACTGCAGATTGCTCACTCTTATCGAATTTTGTTTGCGTGATAAAAAATTATTAATATCGGTTTTGTTTTCAATTCGTAAACAAAAAAGCAAAATAATTGAAATTCCTGTTAAATTTAACACAATTCAATCAGTGAATTGAGCAAGGACTTATCATCTTTCAACAATTTTCGAGCAAAAATTTATCAAAATGATAAATAAAATTTGGATGGGAAGGGGCAGGGAACTTCTTACCTTTACGACAACATTTGCACCCCTCATTTTGCATTCATAAATCTGCGGAACGACACTCAAATTAGAATATAGCTGAACTTGGATGTTTACCAAATTTTGTTGCCTAACTAATACAGGCTTTGCTTTTCAATTTGTAAATAGGAAAGAAAAAATTAACAAAAGGTCATTGAAAAAATGTGATTTGCATATTGTGAAATATCTGACATGCTTCATTCCCGACTTCACTCCATCTTTTATAACACACAGTATTTAAATTTGAATTAAATTTACCCTTATTGTATGCCATTTACTACATTACTGAAAAGGAGCATGCATTTTGCTGGAAGTGACCGAAATATTTCTTCGAGTTATCGCCTTTTTTACTTTCGAATTTGCAGATTTAATTCCGATTGGAAGATTGCAAATATTTCGATTATAGTTAAGTTGTGAAAACCAATGTGTGCTATTTGCAGAGAGACAGGAGGGTGTTGGAAAGCATTAGCAGCTAATGCATGGCAGTTTTGATATTGTGAAGGAGAACTGAAACGATGTTAACGAATTTCATGACAAAGAGAAAGGGATTGCAACCTTCCGTCGTCATAGCAAACTCCCGAAAGCACAGCGATCACAGGGATGCCTTTAACGTGCCCTCCAAATTCACCATCCGACAGGCTGTGTGGCACGGAAACTTCATGTCACATCTCTTTGAAATATGTGAAAAGTGCATGAAGTCTTTAGAAGAGAGTGAAATGCATTAAGAGATAAGCAATCAAAAAAGGAATTATTAGGCGAGTGAATAGAGCCGCAGGGAATTTTAATCTTTTCGATATGAATTCCATTGCAGTGCTAGTTTTGATAATCGTCTCAGTAACAATACCTGAAGAAAACATATGTTATCAGTGTTGCCTGACAACGATCATAATGAGTAGAATCGCAGAAGCTCATTTCGGCACGCAAGAAAAAGTGATGTGGAAATTTTGTATAGAATGGAGATTCTGCAATTTAATGTAATCCGAGAAATTTTCCAAAGCGACTCTCGAAGGAGAAGTTCTTTCTGATTAGAACTGTTGCTTTCTGGACTCACTATTCATTAGTATCCCTAACTATCATTATTGCAATTGATTGTTGTAAATTATCATAGTCTGGCCCAGTTAAATTGGAACTGACATGGTGATTGTTTCTTCGCTACCGAACTTTTCCCATTCAAACTATTTCCTGTGAATTCTTCAGTGTGTTCATCTCTCCCAAAAACACATCGTTGTGTTTAGTTCATCTTCCGATCCGCTCCGTGACATCGCCGTCTTGAATTCAATTCCACTTTCTGCTTAGGAATCCGTCTATGCGAGACAAAAAAGGAATGTTTACTGAACCGGCATAGCCGAGGAAGGCAGCATTCGCTTTTTAAAATATGCCTTAACTTTTTCTCTTTCGTCCTGTGCTGCAGAGGTCAGCGACTAGCGAAGCATTGCGACAGGAACAGTTGCTACCGTCCTTTCGCAGTCGCACAATCAATTTCAGTAGCAGTAGCAATGAAATCAGAATTTCAGGAATGAAAGCAATTCAAGAAAAGTTTCTCTGTCAAAGGACAGTCGGCTCTGACTAACTCCATTTTCTGAAAGGACACAAACTTTCAAATTTCCGAACAATTCACTCATCAGCAGCACAGGAATTCAGGCACAAATTTTCATTCTGTGCTATCGTTGATCCGACGACCCAAACAGGCCGCCTCTACACGTTTTCAAAGTCACTTCTGCGTCGGTCATTGCTACTTTCCTCTTCTCTTCCAAAAAAAGCCAAGATCCATCCCAAACCTCTTGATCTCTGCCGAGCAGGTGCTTCACTTGGTGGTTCGCTACTTCTCTTCGGATTAATGTTCGGGAAAGTTTGAAAAAAAGAGATATTACTGAATTATTAATGAAATAAATTACTAGCCTTAAAAAATGATGATATCGTTTAATTTGTTTTTATTTCTAGGGAGGATAGAGCTCAGTAATTCCTCTCTTAACAATAATTTTTAAAATAGATTTTCATGCACACTTGCATTCTACACATACACTTCGTCGGCGAATTCACCAATAGGTAAACGACTCTCGACACCCATAAATTGCTTACATTTCTGAAGCCATCTGAATAACTTGGTCGTTCTAATGGAAAAGGCGTTACATTTTTCTAAAAGTGTATTTGTCAATGAAAAAGTCGTTGATGTGTGTGAATAAAATATGACATTGCCATTGTTGAAGAAACATTTTTCGGAGAAGTCATAAATTGCTATCACCTAAAATTGGTTCGCTAAAAATAAATCCAACCACTTTTTATTTCGTATTAATAATATTAGCACTATGAAACACTCCCTTTCTATCTTTGGATCCACTTCTGGGGCCGACCGCCACCTATACCGTTTTGGTGTGGGAGGAAGGTGAGTGTACGCGCAGATGCAGATGTTACCTCAATAAAGTTTCATTTGCTTTTTCCGCTTCCCGGTGGAAGCATCGATGATTCTGATTAATGCAGCATGAGAATCACTGCGGGAATGAGTGGTTCATGAGGAGAATGAAAATCCAAAGGAAAGGTTGAGGGGAGTGCTCCTGTGAACAGATGCTACCACAAGACACTTCTGAACTCACTCTAAATTGTTTTCGTCAGCGAATTACTTGAGCAGTAAACGGCTGCACGTTTGCAATTAGCTATCACTCTTTTGAAAAGAAAAGAGATAGGTAGTGAGCAATGAAGTGCTGTATGGAGAAGCGGATCAAGTGGTGGTCATTTTGGGGTTCGCTGGATTCCAAAGGGTAATGGAAATGAGTGAAATGATGAGACGGATTCAGGAAGGGAAAAGCTTTTGGTTCGCAGAAATAGCGCTGTATAGGAAGTACGCTTTGCCCTTGAAGCGATTAAGGTATGCAAATTGTCACTGTATTTATTTAAGATACTGTTCAGATCAATTCCTCTTTCATTCTTACAGTTCAGCACTGTTGTTTCCTCTCTCCAAGATTTACTCCTGTATGAGTGGCTTTTGAATGAGTATTAATTACAGACAAATTGATTTTAAGTTTAAAAAAATTGTTTCAAGACAGATTCTGTGAAATAGGGTATTGCATTTTGCTTCGGGATTTCCCCTTCTGCGTGCTTTTGTAAATCCCACGGGAGCGAAGATAAGTAAAAAGTTCCTGCTCAGCAATTTCCTAATTTCCAGTCTTCCTTATCTTATAAAAATTAAATGGAGAGGACATTTGTTATTTTTATTTTCAAATGTGCCAATCTTTAACCCTTCACAGACATTTCCTTTTTCTCGTTCGTCTTTCTGTCACCCAATAATTGAATTTATTTCCGTTTTGTTAAAAGAGGTGGTACAATAACACTGTACAGCCTTTAATTCATTTCAGGAAACACTCTTTGTTTTAGATCCGGAAAATTGATACAGCTACAGCATGTGATTAGAGACATGATTAGCAGTGTGAAGGAAGTGTTCGAGATTGATCGTTAATTAGCACGGAAAATGAAGGGATAAGAGACAAGCTTCTCCTTCCAGTACCATAGTTCTTCAGGAATCCTCCTGTACTTAAGTTTTCTGCTTACTTTTAAAACATAAAATTGATTACTGCTTTGAAGTTTCATTCTACCTAATCTTGTTTTCATGGCATCAATTATTAAATAATCTACAATTGAACTTTCATATTCACAATAATTATTATCCACCTGCATCAGTTGCATTAGAATATGTGAATAGACAGTGTTAAAAATTTCATAAAGTTCTATTTGAAATATTTGCTTTCCTTTCAAACATCAAAGTTGCATTCATTTTTTTGCATAATTTTAAGCTACTTCCTACAGGATATGACGAAGAAATAGAAGTACAGTGAGATGCGGGTGGTACAAAGGAGAGCTCTTTATGAAAAGAAGAAAAAAGCAAAAGGAGATGAGAGTTATCCTTTGGAAAAAGTTAATTGAAAATCGACCAATGGAAGATAGTTTGCATTTTCAGGTTTTATCCTTGGTACGGCATTGAAAATGGACGAATAGATGATTTATATTTCAGTACAAAATTTTCATAAGAAATAAATTTTGAAATGAAAACGTTAGATGTTTCATTGAGGAGGAGTTGCTGAAAACGTGAAGCGAAGACAATTAATTAATTGACAAAATTAGTTATCAGTCAATCTTGGTGTTTTGCAATGCAACTTCTTCCTCCCTTTCCCGTGAAGTTGGACGACGCATGCACTGCAAAACTGTCACATCGAATGCTGTGAGTGAGTAAGCTAATCTTCTGAAAGGTCCGGCTTCCCGAGCATACATTCCTTCAGAACTATGTCCTTAAAGTACATCTCTATTTTATCGGATAATTGTTTGAAAGAAGTTCAAGTTTGAAATGGCACTCGTAATTCCGTCAAAAAATGATTCGTTTCCCGAAAAGGGGTAACTTCTTAACTAACTTTCATGTTAGCAAAGGCAGAAAGAGCAAGCATTGACTTGAGCGGACCTTTTTTCTTGCTCTCAGCCATTGTTTGCCATGCCATTGGCGACAATTTATTGTGAGTGGCTAACAAAAATGTTTACATGAAAGTTAGTCATGGGTTTAACGAAGCCTTTTCACTTCTGGAAAGGACAAAAAACTAATTTCTGAATAATAAAATTCTGCTTGGAAATCTTTTGTTGAAAAGATGGATGAGTTCGCAGTAAATGAATATGTTTTCGGTGCTTGCACATAATGATAATCATTGCTACCGCGGGAGCTACCAAAGAATGAAGGTTGAAGGAATGCAATGAACAGGGGAACATCCAACTCGAGAGTGGATGGAACATCCACTCTCGAGAGCTACTCCCTCAGAGATGAGATAATGAGCTATTAGTTATCCTTCACATACTGAGGCTAC